GGTACCGCGTAGACGTGGAAATGCGTAAAGTGGGACCGCGTAAAGCGTTTATATTCAAATTATTGGCTGTCTTGCAAGGATTCCAGCAATGCAAATTATAATCTCCTAACTTTAGTCTGAGATATTATATAAGATAAAAACTGTAAGCCTAAAAGCCTGGCTGGGGGGGGGGGGGACGTAGCCAGCCACGCCACCCAGCGAGGGGTTGGGGGGTTGAGGTGATAAGTTTGAGGCGAAGGTCTCTGTGTGTTTATTTAACAGTCCTACTAAGCTTCTCTCATTTTAAAATGCCAGTGATATGACCTGGGAGAATATAATTAACATAGCTGGGATTCTTGTAAGATAATGATTTATTTGAATATAAACATGTTGTAATTCGCACTAGACATAACAATTTTAGTACCGTAATCAAATTAGTACATGTGCACTCCAGCTTTGCACTAAAGTCATTTACAGTATTTCTTTTACGTTTCTTTTAGTATGGTGTGTGCATGTAAATGTATGAAAATAAATGAAGAAATTTATGTAAATCTACCCAAAAATACAGTAGAATTTTTTTTTATAAAATGTACTACAGTATTGTACACTAATGTACTACATTTTTTTATATCTTGAGCAAAATATATGACGCTTATATTCAAATTAATCTCTGTCTTGCAAGGATTTCAGCAATGCAAATTATATTATCTAACTTTAGTCTGAGATATTATATAAAATAAACATAAAGAAATCACCAATCTTTTATCTTGAACACTAGGGTGGTGGGAAGACAGGGGGGGGGGGTGACAATGTCTGGCATTTGTTTGTTTATTTATTTGAGATAAGATTTGACAGTTGGCGCTGAAGGCCTGCCTGCGTGTTTATTTATCATTACTTAAGAGTGACTAAGCTCTTCTCATAATTTTCCACCCAAACGACCTGGGTGAATATAACTTACATTGGAGGGATTCTTGTAAGATAGTAATTTATTTATTTATTTATTTTTATTTTTTTCAATTTAAATTTTAATTGTTTATTCCTTGATAGAGGAAGCGGGATCCTAGTGCTGTCACTTGGTACCCCTGTACCATAACACCAGAAGCAACTGGCCAGTGTCACAAGTATATACAGTACAGTACAGTCATCCCTTGGTTATCGCGCCTAATTGGGACCCCGCCGATAACGAAAGTACAGAACCTATGGGATTTATTCTAATTGGTTCAGGCACCCAAGACCCAACCCCAAGTTTCCCATTTTACGACCATTTAGACCCACTAAATATATATATAATGTTATGGTAAATATCATAAACACACATAGGCATGGCTAGGTTTATTACAAAGTGATGAAAAGGGTACGCTTAATACTGTAGTCCACAAAACATGTAGCTATGCTTTTTTTATTTGGTCCCCCGTCATACGAGTCCGTTTTCTCTCACATCAGGATGCCTGAGTCCTCCGTTTTCTCTCTTAATCTTAGAGTGCACCAGAAACTTTACTATTTTTAGTAATGCCACAGAATTTGAAATTGCAACCCCAATTGCAACTGGGGTTGCAATTGTTGAGGCAACTAGATATGTCTGATTACAGCAAATGTGTTATTGTCAATTTGTAGGTGAAAGATTTTATCCTCAATAGATGTAGGTTAACATTTCACCTGTAGGCAAATGCTTAAAAAAAGCCTAAGTAAGGAAGCATATTCTTTTAACACATAATATCTGACCAGTATGGGGAGGATCATCGTGTCTCCGTCAGGGGGTCGTGGAGTGCTGGTCCAGCAGGCGTCACTTTTTTGGGGGGGGGCCATGGACGTATATGCGATCGGACGTTGTTCGGTTGGACGTTAACCGGCGCATGACTGTATATATATATATATATATATATATATATATATATATATATATATATATATATATATATATATATATATATATATATATATATATATATACAGTAGTACCCCAATTTACGCGGTCAATTGAACCCACAGGGTACCGCGGAAAGTGAAAACCGCGTAAAGTGAACAACAGAACATATGGGATTAATTCCAATAGAGACTGGCCCGACCCCCAAACTCCACTTTTTCCGACACAATACCTATGTTGTAGTAAAAATAACATCTAAATTTTATGATGGTATGCTCACACAATTAATATTTAAGAGAAATACAGTCGCCAGGTTAATGTCCATTCAAATAATGGACTCAAATCCCCCCCCCCCCCTCTTCCCAGCTCACTAGCTCCTACCTCTCTGAGAAATGTTTGGGTGAAACACTAGATTTTAACGTTTGTAATAAATAATACCTCAGACTAAAGTTAGGATAATATAATTGACATTTCTGGATTCCTTGCAGGTCAGGGAATATTTTGAATGTAAACTTCATATATTTTGCACAAAAGATAAAGTATTTGCTTTGTGTAAACCAAATTATTATATTAGATCTAAAATTTGTATGTCTAATGCAACATCCATGATGTTTATATTCAAAATGATCATCATATTGTAAGAATTCCAGCAATGTAAATTATATTCTGGCCGAGTAATTTGTATGAATTTTATGAGCTAAAACAAATATCTTCAGTTAATAAAAAAAAAAAATATTCTTCAGACACTATCTGTCAATCAAAGTACCCCACCTTGCCTCTTCCCCTCCTCACACTCATGCCAGCTGGGTCGGTGGTCCGTCCCAACCCTACCCCCCCCCACCACCACCCACCTTCCCTCCCTACCAGATAAATGTTTGGATGAAAATACTAGATTTTAACTTTTAGTAATAAATAATACCTCAGACTAAAGTTAGGATAATAGAATTGACATTTCTGGATTCCTTGCAGGTCAGGGATTATTTTGAATGTAAACTTCATATATTTTGCACAAAAGATAAAATATTTGCTATGTGTAAACCAAATTATTACATTAGATCTAAAATTTGTATGTCTAATGCAAAATCCATGATGTTTATATTCAAAATGATCATCATAGTGTAAGAATTCCAGCAATGTAAATTATATTCTGGCTGGGTAATTTGTATGAATTTAATGAGCTAAAACATATATCTTCAGTAAATAAACAAAGAAATATTCTTCAAGGACACTATCTGTCAATCAAAATACTCTGCCCTAGCTGGGTCGGTCCCTCCCTCCCTACCAGAGAAGCTTTGGGAGAAAATAGTATATTTACATTTTTAGTAATAAATAATAACTCGGACTAAAGTTAGGATAATATAATTGACATTTCTGGATTCCTTGCTGGTCAGGGAATATTTTGAATGTAAACTTCATATATTCTGCACAAAGGATAAAATATTTGCTTTGTGTAAACCAAATTAATACATTAGATCTAAAATTTGTATGTCTAATGCAAAATCTATGATGTTTATATTCAAAATGATCATCATATTGTAAGAATTCCAGCAATGTAAATTATATTCTGGCCGGGTAATTTGTATGATTTTTATGAGCTAAATAAAAAAAAAAAAAAAAAAATTATACTTCACCGCATATATGAGTAGATGCACCTCGGAAAGTGAAAGTCCCGGTTCTGGCAAGGTACCGCGTAAATGAGAAAATGAGAAATCGCGGAAAGTGAAACCGTGTAAAGCGGGGTAATACTGTATATATATACAGTTGTACCCCACTTAACGCGGTCAATTGAACCCAGAGGGTCCCGTGTTAAGTGAAATCCGCGTTAAGTGAACAACAGAACATATGGGATTAATTCCAATAGAAACCGGCCTGACCCCCAAACTCCACTTTTTGAAGGCACATACCTATGTTGTAGTAAAAATAACATCTTAATTTTATGATGGTACATGCACACAATTAATACTTAAGAGAAATACAGTCGCCAAGTTAATGTCCATTCAAATAATGGACTCAACTCCCTCCCTCTCTCACACTACACTCGCTGGCTCTTCCCTCTCAGAGAAATTTTGGGGGGAAAACCACTAAATTTTAATAAATAATACCTCAAACTAAAGTTAGGATAATACAATTGACATTGCTGGATTCCTTGTAAGACCAGGAATATTTTGAATATAGATGTCATATATTTTGCACAAAAGATAACATAGTTACCTAGAGAAAAATTTTTATCTAAAATTTGTATGTTTAATGAAAAATATATGATGTTTATATTCAAAATGATCACCAAATTATAAGAATTCCAGCAATGTAAATTATATTCTCACCGGGTAATTTGTATGAATTTTATGAGCTAAAACAAATATCTTCAGTTAATAAAAAAAAAAATAATCTTCACAACACTATCTGTCAATCAAAGTACCCCACCTTGCCTCCCCCCCTCTTCCAACCGCGCGGTCAGTCCCAACCCTCCCCCCCACCCCTCACCAATCCTCCCTTCCAGGGTTTTTAACATTTAGTATTAAATAATACCTCAGATTAAAGTTAGGATAATATAATTGACATTGCTGGATTCCTTGTAAGACCAGGAATATTTTGAATATAAATGTCATATATTTTGCACAAAAGATAACATAGTTAATTTGAGAAAAATTTTTATCTAAAATTTGTATGTCTAATGCAAAAATATGATGTTTATATTCAAAATGATCACCAAATTATAAGAATTCCAGCAATGTAAATTATATTCTGGCCGGGTAATTTGTATGAATTTTATGAGCTAAAACAGGCAGTCAGGCAGGGTGGGGCAAATCTAAAAATAGCGTCTCGAGCCGGACACTCACCGCGTATATGTGGAAAAAATCCGTGTTAAGTGATAAAACGCGTTAAGTGAAACCGTGTTAGGCGGGGTAATACTGTATTGAACTGAATACCTGTACCTGCATCACTATATCTTCTGTATACAGAACCAACTGTGTACAGTACTTGTTTAAGATTTATTTTTTTTATAAATACCTGTTTATTTCAGTACAGCAAATTATACCTAGATTAATATTCACAGCTGTGTGTGTGTGGCTTTTCCCAACATTTTAGCCACATTATAATCTCATCTGCCATTGGGTAGTTCACAGTGCTCACTCTCATTTATTTGTATCCACAGCCGACTACTTGGGCTCTGTTGGAGATGTATTTGAGGGTAGCGGCTATGGAATTGTTATTGATGATGATGAGTATCCTCTAGGGATCCCTGGTTTGCCCTTACCTCGTGGTCAGCCCGGACTTCCAGGACCCAAAGGAGAGAAGGGTAGGTACCATGATTGTGTGAAATATCATTGGCAGGTAGGTAGGTGTGTGTGTGTGAAGTTTTTGTGAGAGAGATGAAAAGCAGTGACAGTAAACAACAACAGTACAGTATGTGCTCTATTTAAAAAGTATGAGCAGTAAAGAAAGATAGAGCAACTATGTACTGTACTTTAAATGTTATAATAAAGAGCAAGAGTACATTTTTTGTGCTTTGAAACATAATCTCATCAGAATTAAAGGACTCGGTTTTCACAATAACAGTGTCAGTTACCGTCCAGTACAGGTATTAGGAAAAGTGAAGAGCCGTATCTGAAATACTGGAAGATGATTTTTTTTAGATTTTCAGAGGTGAAGACTATTGATACCTTAAATATGTATGCATTATAGGATACTTATATACTTTTGTGTGTGTGAGCATGTGCGTGCATGCGTGCGTGTGATGATAATGAGAAAACACTAAATTGCTGATAAAATAAATATGATACAGTAGAACTGGTTTATAGAAATACAGTATTTAGTTAGCATAATGAAGGCACAGTACAAAAAAAAATATTTTGTGGAAGAAAATGTTTTATCTTAGCTTTTGTGTAAACAGGTGATGCTGGCCCCGAAGGTGCTCCTGGTCCAAAGGGTGACCGTGGATTTGAGGGTGTTCGTGGGTCTCCTGGTACGTTCGTCTTTCATTTTAGTCTCAAGTTTTATAATTTCATAATTTTTTTAATGAATATTTCCCATTATTGTATTTTTCGTGGGAAAAAATCTTTGAAAACTTTGTTCACTTGGCACTCAAATTTGACTTAAGTGTTCTTTTACATTTTGATTCAGGGAAATTTTTACTTGTCTACACTAAGTTTTTCGTTATTAATAACCAGTAGACAAACTGTAGCCAAACAAGATTTCACTGCAGAATCCTGTTTACATCCATAATGCAGTGATTTTTTTTTACCTCATACATTTATTAAGTGTTTATATAGTATGTATTTTAATGCTTGCAGAAACATTGTGCATGCTGGTTCTTATTAATCTTTTGACATATCAGTTATGTAGGGTGTTCCTATAATTTATCATCGGTATATGTGTTAAACAGGAATTTTTAGAAGATAGGAAAATTTAGTTTATAATCATTATAAACAATTGGATTGTCTGACTCTACTAATGTACAGTCGTGAGCAGAAGTCCTGTCGCCCCTTCTGCTGCTCCATGAACCCTGAGATTCAGACTCATGAATCCGAAGCATTTATGGGCAGAATAATGCACCAGTGTCTACTGCTTCGGGTTCATGAGTCTGAATCTCATGGTTCGCGGAACAGCACAAGGGGCGACAGGACTTCTGTTCACGACTGTACTTGTTTATCAATGAGTAAGGTTCTTCACCTACAGTGAGTTCTGCTATAACGCGTGTTTTGACAACGCGAATCGGCTCTAACGCGATTTATGAATAGAGGAACAATATTTGTATAACGCGAACACTTGTTTGCTGTAACGCGATTTTTGCTCACTATTTCTCCAATTTGGTGGTATTAACTGTGAATATGGTAAAGAAGAATATCTCCAAGAAGCGTTCTCGTGATCGCATTCCCGGTGATGATCGTAAAAGAAAGGCTATAACCCTTGAAGAGAAGCTCGATGTTATCAACCTCAAAATCACCCTTCTCCCCCATCAAGTTATATTCATATTTTTTCAAGGTAAAGTGTTACATTTACTGTATGATTTCATTATTAGATATGAATGTAACATTTATTTAGACTGTGCTATCCTTTGTGTTAGGCTAACTACTAAATTTTTTTTCGATTTCGAGTAGTAATCTGCACCTAACCCTATTTTCTCCATAAGCCCTGTTATTTCTATTACGCGAATTTCTATGACACGATGTTTTACAAGAACACAACTATCGCGTTATAGCAGAACTGACTGTACTAGAAAGTAATCATAGTAATTCTCACATGTACTGCATATACATAGTGGTTTTTCAATTATGGTACTGTATTGTGATAAATTTTTGACTAAGACTATGAGGGTTTTATTTTAGTAGATGCTAATGTAGATTCTTGCTTGTTTCAACTGACTAACATGCATGCAAGGACATCCTTCTAAGAGGTAGGAAGATACAGTGCCGTAGTTGTTTTAAATTTAATACTGCATCCTGTATTTAAGTCTGCATCTGTAGCCATTTTGTGCTTGTCATTGAATATGATATGCATGTAGTAGTAGTGTAGCTATAAAATGACATGCATGTCATGTGTATGTGCTATGGCTATGCTGGGTGTGCAGGTGATCACTGGTTCGCTTTGCAGGCGAGCCTGGTTTGACGGGTCTGCCAGGGGAGCGTGGCGTGCCAGGTGGAGCAGGGGTGTTTACAGGTCAGATGCTTCCTCTCAGCCTCTGTGAATGTTATTTTTTATTTCTTCCTTTTTGACTGGATATAACTACCAGTAGCTGAATTTTTTTATCCAGATTCCCCTTGGTGATATAGTTGCTTGGATTCTAGTCTTACATAACGGTGCAATGTACGGTATGATGGGTGAAAGAGTCATTCTATTTTGCTGGATTTTTTTATTTAACTCTTCAAAAAATACATATTGAATACCCGGTGCTTATAGAGTATTAAAAAAAATGCAATTCTATGAAGATAACTTTTTAATTAAAATTTTTGAAGAATACAGGTAGACCCTGATTTATGAGTACAGGTGCTCCCCGACTTACGACAGGGTTAGGGACCCAAATCCAGGTCGTAAGTCCGACATAGATAAAAAAATAATAAAAAAAACAATTCAAAATTTTTTTTTCAAATTAAAAAAAAAAAAATCTACAATGAAATACAATACAGTAAAAGTAATAAATAATGAGGAATGGATACAGTGTGGCTGAGCACTTACCTTTAATGTAGTCAGCTGAATGTACACGGGGCCCTCATAATTTTTTTAATTATACATGGAGACTACATTAACTGGAAACGTTTTGGTATAGAAACTGCTCGCGTCATTTTGAAAAAAAAAAATGGTCACAAACGCGGCGGTCGTATGTCCCGACAGTCGTAAGGTCAGAGCAGGTCGTAAGTACCGATGGACTTAAGTTGAGGCAGTTGTAAGTCGGGGACTACCTGTATATAATTTATAAAAAGAAAAAATTGCAAAAAAAAAAAAAGGTGTCCCTTACTTTGAATTATGAGTGAGAACTCTGAAGTTACGAAAAAGTCTTCAGTAATAATGAAAATGCTGTACGGAACAGTATACAGAACTAAAATACCGTGGCTTTTTACGTCCATTATGCTTACTTATTTCATTAACATATTTCATTATTTTTTAATTCTTGCAATGTTATTAAGTCTTCAAGTAAACTTTCAGTGACATCAATCTCCTAAACTTACCACACAACTTACTCCTAAACTTACATGAACTTGTGTACTATACATCACTCACCCCACCACACAGTCACTGAGCCAGTTGCCCGACTGTCAAATTTTTCATGAATAAACTCTCTATAAGATGTTCCAATAAAAATTAATTCAACAAAATGTTTCACCATGAAATAATGATGGGGACTTTATTCTTTTATGAAAAAAGAGGTAAGAAATGTTGATGCCAGAGTCAATAAATGTAGTTCTAATTAAGTTAGAAACACTTTTTTTTTTTACTAAAATATCCCCAAATGGTTTAAACCTAAAAGTTTGGTTTAATAAATATACATTATTTAAAAAAAAAAAATCTAAGATATGGGCGGGCAAGGCATGACTGGAGCTGTGTCACAGCCAACAGTGGAATTTTCCATCCTGCACTAATGAAAGTTTTCCCCAAGTCTAAATGATGCAACACACATGGAGCTATATTTATTTATGCAAACACCTCTATATACTTACAATATATTGAAAATAAACAGAATAATGTAGTAAGTCCTCGCTTAACGTCGTCCTGCTTAACGTTGTTTCGGTACTATGTTGCTGAACTTTAGACACCAAAAATTTCTTTAACATCCCTGTGATCCGATACTATGTCATTTTGCCTCATCACGATTACTTTCTCTGGCTCATCACTTGCTCTTGTCTGGCCTCGCTACACTCTCTTGGCTCAGCGCGCTGCCCTCACTCACGGAACGTCACAGTACTGTATCCCCAAGCGATGCCAAGCCAGTCTCTGTTACGACTTCACATCATTTGTGTGTGCTTAAGTGCTTTTGTCTAAAACTGCACTCTAACCATTCGAAATGGCTTCCAAGCACCCATCAACTGCTACTGATGCTAGTGTAGTGAAGAGGCAACGTAAGACCATTACCCTTGCTCCGAAAATGGACGTATTAACCCGATTTGAGAAAGGGGAACGTGCTGTGGACATAGCCGCTGTTCTTGGTCTCACCCCCACAACGGTGCATACTATCCGGACCAACGCTGACAAGATTAAGGTTAGTGCTGGAAGTGGCTCTTCTCTGAGTGCTACTAAGATGACTCATACTAGAAGCACTGTGAAAGAGAAGTTTGGAAAAGATGCTGGCAATGTGGATGGAGGACCAGAATCAACGCAATGCCCCTGTGAGCCTTATGGTTATCCAGCATAAGGCCAGATCCTTGTTTGATGACATGAAGGAAATAGAGGGTGAAGGATCGAAGGAAGAGACCTTTACGATTTAAGCATCGGTATAACTTCCACAACATAAAGATGACTGGTGAAGCTGCCAGTTCAGATACGGTTGCTGCCGAGACATTCCCGCCAACAACGGAGGAGGAGCAAGCAGCAGCAGAGGAACCCCAGTTAGAGGAGGAGGACAGCCGTAAAGTCTCAGTGACTTACCACCCTCCTCCTACGCTCTACTACCTACCACACACTCGCTCTACCACCTCCACCCATCAGTGAGTACCAATGCCAATTTAGTACTGTAGTTCTATATACAGGTACTATTTTCTATAGAAATGGCAATGATTTTCTGTATATGTAACTTTTTTCATGGGGCAAAGGGAGGCTGGAGAACGTAACACTCGTATTTTGTCTATTTCTTATGGGGAAAATTGATCCGCTTGACGTTGTTTTGCATAACGTCATTTTTTGGGAACATAATCCCTATGTTCAGCGAGGATGCCCTGTATAACACTGTACTGTATAATATACTATACAGTACTCGCCAGCAGATTCTGTCATCTTGAGCCTACAGTAGGCAATATGTAACTGTATTAACTTTTTACATCTTAACACTTGCGATGGAGGTGGGGTAGAGGATTAGTGGGTCATGTTACTGACCTGACCTGATGCAATGTCAGGTAACCCATTGTTGGGGTGGGGATTACGGTAGTGGGTCTCATGACCTGAAGATGTCTTGAATAAAGACGAAAGCTTAGGTGCTCCAGTGTTTCCCACTTATTGAATGTACAGTACAGTATACGTAACTGTAATAATTTTTTTGTCTCAACACTGCTTTAACACAGTATTCTTGGTTGATTGTGTCCTGGTACAGTAATGTACAGTACTGCACAACATGAAATGTTTGCAAAAACAACAGCTACTGGGGGGACAACCTTCTACATTGGTTGCAGAATATGAACTAAGCGATCCAAGCAGCTAAGCCACCCATGCACCTGGCACCTAACCTAATGCCCCACTGCCCTACTTCCCCTCCAGTACATTTACACATGAAGTGTCATCTCAGTACCTATTAGTTTTTGTTTGGCCTGTCTCAAATTTGATTAGACCACTGTACAGTATCCCCATTAAAGACAATACATACTCTACATAAAATGCTGGCCATTGTTTGTGTTAAAAAGAACAAATTATATGAAACTGATAAAGGTGTTTTTATTTTCCTGATTAGATGCTGTAAATAGTAGACTCAATAGTGGAAATAGATGATGCACGAATGATGTTCAGGTACAATATAGTTTGAGGAACTTTTACACAACATTATTGTAATTGTTTGGCACTTAAAAATTAAACTGGATAGAAATCATTTTCTATTTAGAACTTAAGCAATACAGGTACTGTACGTGGTTCTTTTCACTTCGCATACTTAATGTTTGGTTGTACAAGCTTAATACCTGTATTACTTTAGAGACACGAGACGTTGATGGGGATTGGGGAAAACATCGCAACACAAAAAGTTTGTGGTAAACCACTAAAAGTTCACTTATATAAGTGTAAGTAGCGAGGCGCAGTGCACTGGTAATACATATGAATGCAGGATTCAGACTGAGGCACATGCCATGTGACACCCACGCAAGTACGAACACACAACAAATTTTCCGGACTGATGCACGATTTTCTGTTTTTTATTTTTTTAATATTTCCAATAAATAAAGAGACAATCCGGATCACCTTAGAGAGTCCCCAAAAAGCAAATTCCGATATCTTAAAGTTCAATTTAATTGAGGTTTATCTGTATATTTCCTTTCATTGTTTTATATTGAACATAATGCATTAAGAATGATGGAGCACTATATTGTACGTAGTATGTACAGTGGTCCCTCGGTTAACGAGCACAATCCGTTCCAGCAGGTTGCTCGTTAACCGAAACCATTGTTTCAATGGGTTTTGGGTAATTGGTTCCAGCTCAACGAAAATTGCTTAAATTCAACAAAAATGGTAGAAAAGTTCACTTACTTTGAGGTGTGTATGTAGAAGGCTCCTGGATGATGATGATGTGAATTTGAAGTGGGAGGTGGAGGAGGAGAAGGGAGAAGAGAAGGAAGTGGAGGTGGAGGAGAAGCATTTTACTGCTTCTTGAAAGGTGAGTCACCTTCCATGACATGTCAGGAACCTCTAGACTGACTGATTCTCCACCATGAACATCCTCTCTCCTTCTTGAAGTGGAAGGCTGAGGGATGGCATCTTGTTCCCTCTGCCTTTTACTGAAAAAAAGTATCAATTGTGGTCTGTGGGGCATCTGTCCTCCTCACCATTAACTTATGTTTAAAGAAGACCACTGAGTCCTCAACATGACACAAAGTTAGTTCAGCTTTTTTCCACTTTTGGGTGCTTTGAAGCCAGTTCCCTGAACTTCTCCCAGTGGTAAATCACATCTTTCAACTGTTTAGCTGACATATGGTCATCACTTTCAATTTCCTCCTCACCACTGTCAGCCTCTGCCTGTAACATCTCATCCAGTTGCTTCAAGTCATCAGGAGTAAGTTCCTCCTCATGAAACATCACAAGCTCTTCCACATCCTCCTCCTCCTCCACTTCAAGGCCCAATGACTGACCAATGGACACAATCTCGTGGTCCAACTCTGTTTCTTCCTCAAATCCCTCAAAATCATGGACTACTGATGGCCACAGTGCTTTCCATGAAGAATTGAGGGATCTAGTGGAGACTTCTTGCCATGATGACACAATCAATTTTACAGCCTCCAGGATGTTGAATTGTGTCTTCCAGAAATGTTTCAGTGTTAGTTCAGGATCATTGGAAGTTGCCTGATGACACCTCCTAAACATTTTCTTCATGTACAACTTCTTGAAGTTGCTGTTCACATTCTGGTCCATTGGCTGTATGATTAATGTAGTGTTTGGAGGCAAAAACAACACTTTCACAAAGTCAAATTGATACTCCAAATTTCTGGCAAGGTCAGGGTCATGACCAGGAGCATTATCCATGAGGAGAAGAGCCTTTAAAGGGAGTTTATTGGTGGTTAGGTAGCTCTTGACAGAAGAGCGAAACACATCAACAGCCCATTCATTAAAGAGCTGTCTTGTCACCCATGCCTTACGGTTGGACTTCCAATAAACTCCAAGCTTTGTTCTTACCACTTTCTGTTGCTTGAACACCCTGGGGTTTTCAGAGTGGTAGACAAGCATAGGCTTCAGTCGGAAATCCCCTGAAGCATTGGCACCAAGCAATAGAGTGGGACGGTCTTTCATGGGTTTATGCCCAGGTAAAGAGGCTTCATCTCTGGTGATGAATGTTCTTTTGGGCATCTTTTTCCAGAGCAGCCCAGTTTCGTCCACATTGATCACTTGCTGTGGAAGATAATTTTCTTCCTCCATCAGTTCTTTAAATTCAACTAAAAACTTTGCTGCCCCTTCCTTATCAGCACTAGCAGCTTCACCATGCTTAACAACACTGAAAATGTTGCTTCTTTTCTTAAATTTTTCGAACCAGTCTTTGCTGGCCCGATCTTCAAATTCTGTGCCAAAAGAACCAGGTTGATCTGTCTTTAAATGTTCGTAAATCTCCCTGGCTCTTTCACAAATGAATTCAGTAGAAACTGAATCACCTTTTATCTGTTTTTCCCTAATCCAGATGATAAGTAACCTCTCAGTTTCTGCAATTAGGGATCTACTTTTAAACACTCTTGTAGGTTTGTCTCTCACTTTTACTTCTTTAAATTTGTCTTTCTCTGCAAGAATTATCGACACAGTTGATGTCGACATGCCATATTCTTTGCATAGCGCATTTGTTCTAATGCCTTGTTCATGTTTTTTTATGATTTCCTGCATGGTTTGGATTGAAATTGCTTTTCTTGATCGCTTAGGCCCCATGCTGGATTCAAACAATGTCAACACATGTTTTTTAAAGTTAAAGTTGTTGTAAATAAAGAATATTTTCTTTAAAATAACACTGCACTGCGCTATATATTGTCAATATGTAAAATATATTTCAAAATGACCAATAATTTGTTTGGAAACACACAAAAAAAGCATTTAGTTGAAGAGAGTCTCGAGCAAGATGTTACCTCCAGTGAAAACAGAGAGAGACTAATGCCTGTTTGCTGTGTTAAGAGGCTGGATGCTGCGCATTAAACTAGTCACTTTACCTTCACTTATGTTCAATAATTGTTAAAATGACTAAAAAATTTAATATTAATTTTTTTAAATTATTGAATAGTATAAACTTCTTGATATTTACTAAAATAGTAAGGAATTTAAGCCCTAGAACCGATTAATGTATTAGCAGACTAATACTACAGCTGGTTGACTGCCCAGTGCAAGCCAAAACTTGTTGAGGTCAGCTCGTAAGAAACTTGTTGACCAAGGGATTGCTCGTTAACCGAATTTAAGAATCTTATGGAAGGTAACTCGTTAACCGAAATCCTGTTAACCGAGGCGCTCGTTAACCGAGGGACCACTGTAATTCAGTTTCACTTTTAACCATGGGTTTGTATCTCAGTCCGTCATAATTTCTTGTCTAGTAAAGAAATTTGGACTTGGAGGAATGGCTTAGGTCCAATTGATTTTTCATAATCGTGTTTGTTTTGTATGTATAAAATGCTGCAGCCCTGTTTCAGATGTGTGCATATGTGCCTATGCTTAAGGATGGCTTATATTTATGTAATATATTATGAGAAGCATCAAGCTGTATACTAAAAACTTTGTAGTAAATCTTCATTGGATGATTAAACATGTTATAATTTTTGTCAATTACTATATTAATTGTCCCTGGTACAGATGGCACAGAGACGAGGCCTATTCAGGAACTGTTCCAGACAGTTGCACATCTTCGTGAGAACCTGAACCTTCTTGATGCAAGAGTTCGAATCCTGGAGACAGAACTCCCTAAAATTATTGGTAAGTTTATTACTATTCAGCCACTTTTATATGAAATTAGTTATTGCCTGGTGACATTATCACCAGGAAAGGTACATGTTAAATTTTTGACCCTAGGATGCCTTTTTCTCCACTGCTTTGTATCACTTTTCCATATCAATTTGTTTCTGAAGCTTCATTAAGTAAATGAGAAAAAGGGTCATACCTTGTGTAAAATTTAGTTTTCAGGGTTTGGACACAACTGCATAAATTCAGTTGTTATTATGCAGCTGTATTTCTTTGCCCCATTTCAATGAGGGCACACTACCTTGGCCATGACCATCTGTATATCAATCTTTCTACCTCACGTCTGTATATCAATTTTTTCTACCTCGCATCTGTATATCAATCCTTCTATGTCTTATTTGTTTCCACACATGAATATAGAGATCAGGTTCTATTTTGGCTGTACTGTACTTAATTATTTTTGGAGACTTTTTTTTTTTTTATTACAGGTATTTTTATCTGAAAATTGGGGAGTACAGCAGATTCTGTTCGTAGTGCCTGTCATCTTTCTGTCTATCTTCAAGGGCATTTTAAACCTCTATGGATTTCCCTTGGCCACTCACACTCCCACAAATGATTATAATGCCATTGAAAATTATATCATTATTGTTCATAATAGTTCATAATAATGCCAAGCCTGTCACAGGTATTCATAATGGTCATAGTTATCTACTAAGACACCATCATGGATATTAAGGTCACTAACTGTTTTTCATCGACTCATACGTGTTCATAATGACCTCAAATATCGTATCTCTCACATCATACTACACTAATAAGAACATAAGAATGGAGGTAAATGCAGCGGGCCTATTGGCTCATACTGGGCAATCCCATTTAGACCCAACCCCTATTGTTCATATATGTATCCAACCTATGTTGGATGATGATGTTTGGTAACTTCCTCCACTACTCTATTTCCAAACCACCTATCTAGCGCCTAAATCTAAATTTGTCTTAATTTAAAACCATATTTCACTCCTGGGTGGATATTTTGAGTTCCTTTGTTATATCACCTTTGTTTAACCCTGACTTCCATTTATACATCTCGATCATATCACCCCTCACTCTACGTCTCTGTACTCAAGGTTCCTAATGCCCGGGATTAGTCTTGTCATTCTCCTCTGAATTCTTTCTAGGGATTCTACCGTACAGTATATCTATTCTGGAGTACGGTGACCAGAACTGAACTGCATAATCCAAGTGAGGTCTCACAAGCGCAAGATATAGTTTTAAGATAACCTCGCTCGTCTTGTAACTAACACTTCTTTGTATGAACCCAATACTTTCTTAGCCTTGTTTCAAGCAAATACACATTGGTTACTTGGTTTAAGATTCCTATTTATCATTACCGGTACTCCTAAATCTTTCTTACAGTCGGATTTCTCAATAACAACGTTGTTCATCTTATATCTGGGTTCTCTGTTTACAGTTGTCCACATTAAATTTCATCTGTGTTTTTCAGACCATTCGGAAAATTGGTCTAGATCTTCCTGTAGTTTTGCGTAGTCCTCGTCAGATTTAATTACACGCCCTATTTTAGTGTCGTCAGCAAATTTACTTCTGTTGCTGTCTACGCCTATTTCTATGTAGTTTAGGTATACATATAATAAATAATGATGGTCCAAGTATTGAGCCATGGGGTACTCTACTAGTGATGCTACCCCAATCCCGGTAATGCTTACTCGCTGTTTCCTGTCCTGTAACCACGCCCTAATCCATTTTAGAATATCTCCTACAATGCGATGAGCCTCCACTTTTCTTATTAGTCTTTCGTGGAGACTGTCAAAGGCTTTGCTAAAGTCGAGATATACCACATCATAATTGTGCCACTCGTCCATTGATTCGAAAACAGATGAAAAGAATGTTAATAGATTAGTTAGACATGAACGCCCGCCTGTGAAGCCGTGTTTGGAATCATTGATCAACTTGTGCTTCTGCACGTGATTTTGAATAGAGTTTGAAATTATTGCTTTCAGCAATTTGCCTACAATTGATGTTAAACTGATTGGACGGTAGTTAGAGGACAGTGATCTATCTCCCATCTTGAAAATCGCTATCACATTTGCTATCTTCCAGGATTTTGGTACTACAGTACACCCGTTTTTAATGACATGTTAAACAAATTTGCGAAGGGCATATGAAGCTCTCCCTTACATTCCTTTAATACTCTGGTAAATATCTCATTGGAACCTGGTGACTTATTAGGCTTTGGCTTGTCTATTTGCTTACTGACATCATTACTAGTCACTACTATCTCTCTTAATCTATTTTCTTCACTATCTCTGTGTATAGTCGGTGCCTCGGGTATCATGTTTAAATTTTCAGTGGTGAAAACTGTTGAAAATTATCTGTTCAGATTATTACTCATTTCTCCATCGTTGTCTGTTAGCTCGCCGGTATCTGACTATTGGTCCAATCTTGTCTCGTGTTTTAGTTTGATACATTTGAAAGATTCCCTTGGGGTTTGATTTTGTCTTCCTTGCTAGTCAGTTCATTAATCCTCTTTGCTTTTTATCATCTTGGTCTTAACCCTTATAATAATCTCAGAGGTAAACTTTACCACGATTTATTCTCCTACCTATAGTCTTCCTTTGTCCAATAATATTCTTTCAATAATTGTTTATCCATTTAGTGTCATTGTTGTCTGATCTGAGTTTTTTGTATGGTATGTTCTGCCTTTGTGAATTAAGTAACTCATTATCTAAATTGTTGTGGAACTGATCAACCTCAAATTTCGTGATCAGGTCATCCTCAGCCATCATATTTTGTGAGGTTATTGTTGTCAGGTCTCCAGGTAAAGTGAGGTTGCCCTCTGTGGGTACATTGTGTGAGGTCAACCCAAGTGAGGTCATGTAATTCACTCCCAATCGTGATACCCCTTCTCTCAGCTGCCTTTTCAAACTATCAAAGTTTGCCCTTCTGAAATCTGAGACATTAATGGAGTTTTCCTTGTGACTACCATTAAGTTATAATTTGAATCTTACTTCTTTGTGATCGCTGTTAGCTGTTACGTTCCCTACCTCGACATTACTAATGAGGTTTTCTCTGTTTGACAGAACTAAAATCAAGAATATTATTACTCTGTGTGGGTTTGGCTATATGTTGACTTAAGAAACAGTCTTGAACTGTTTCAAGAAAATTCTCTGTTTCTGAGTTACCCTCAAGGTCGGTCCAACCTATTTGACTAAAGTTGTAGTTGCCTACTATACAGACTTTGCTATGTCTGGATGTACTGCGCATTTCATCCCAAATAAGTCGCTCATTAACTCTATCAAGATTTTGAGGTCTATATATTACTCCTATGATTACTTTCTCCCTTTCATCGGTTAATTTTTTCCAAATTGTTTCTGTATTCAGTTAAGTTTTTATTATCTTATTTATTTCACACTTCAGATTATCCCTGACATAGATTTCTACACCGCCTCCTTTCCTAATCTGCCTATCGGTATGGAATAAAGTGTAACCTGTAATTTGGTATTCGACAAGTAAGTCACGTGAATTAGTTTATCCAGGTTTCAGTGAATGCTATTATATACCGTAGATTTTTTAGGTACATACCAACGGCCTGATTTCATCCATTTTGTTTCTCATACATCTACATTTTGTATAGTTAGTTGTGATCTGAGTCCTCCCTTTGTCGCATTTAGGTTTTAACTCCCTGCCTAATTTAGTTTTGTCATCATTCCTAGCACTATTTCTCTGCTCCCACTGCAGTCTCCTCGATTCCCGTGCTCACATGTTCCCCGAGCAGTTTAAAGACTTCAAAATCTTTTGAACTGCCCTCTCGAGAGAGCCAGCCAGGGTTGCCAACCCATCCCTAGACAAATGTACCCCATCCCTAGCATAAAGCTCCCTTCGGCCATAAAAGTTGTCCCAGTTTTCAATGAATGGGACTGATATTGACTTGCAATATGTCAAGACGGCTGTTGACACCAACTGCCCTTGACAACCCTTCATTGCCAACTCTCCTTCTAGGCAGGACACCACATATGATAGGGATCCCTCCCTTTACCCTAATACGTTCAATAGCTGTTTTGAACTTATCAAGGAGCTCCTCACTCCTATTTTTTTTTTTTTTTTTAGCACAAAGTTTTATCCAGTTACCATACCTGGGAATCACCAACAATTCAGGTTTTTGTTTCCTCCTTGTCAGTCCTGTTCCTGACTATGCTAACATCCAATTCGTCTATCAAAGGACTTTGAGAGTTTTTACACTTAGCTGTTGTCGTTGTGGTGTCTTTTCTCACCACCAGTTTGGTTGGTCCTCTCCTCACAACCCTCCATTCGCCTATGCATTCGTCAGACACGGGCTTTCCTTGCCTTCACTGACTCGGCCACTATCTCAGCCCTCAGAAGGTCACAGCCCTGCTCACAAATAGCACTAGCCATTACAGTGGTCCCTCGGTTTACGAACACAATTCGTTCCACAGAGTCGTTCGTTAACCTTATCCATTGTTTCAATGGGATATTGGGTAATTGGTTCCAGCTCACAGAAAAGTACACACAAAGTAAAAAAAAAAAAAGAATGCAGTAAAGTACACTTACTTTGAGGTGGGGGTGGAGGAGAAAGGAGAAGTGAAAGAAGTGGGGATGGAGGAGAAATCACCTTTCAGGGGACCCATGCTTGATGCAGTAATTTCATCAATAAAATTTTAAGTTTACTAGGTGTAATTCAAGATTATTTTATTTAAATCAACACTACACTGTGCTATATATTATTAATATGTTAACTAAATTTCAGAAATACCAATAACTTTTAATGTAAAAATGCAAAAATAATCAAGACGCCAACAAAATCGATGTTCACTCCACTGTAAACAAAGCTAAGCTGACGCCTGGTGGGTGAGTCAAGCGGCTGATGGGCGCACAAAAAACTAGTTCCTTGTACTGCATAAATTATTATGTTAACTAAATTTTAAAATGACTAATAATTTTAATATAAAAAATGCAAAAATATTAAAGAGCACAACTTT